CCCTCCTCCCTCCTCCTCCCTCCTCCCTCCAGCTCCCTCCTCTTCCTCCTCCCTCCCTCCTCCCTCCTCCCTCCCTCCTCCTCTACCCTCCCTTCCCTCCTTATCCCAGATACTGCAACAGCTCTCCTGTCTTCCATCAACTGGGGAGGGGGGGGAAGGAGGGGTGGAAGGAGGGGGAATGATAACCTTCCTGTTCCTCAACTGGGAGTGGTAAATGGAATGGGGGAAGGGAAGAAGGAGGAGAGAACCGCTTATCTCTCATCTCATCAATTATAGGAAGAGGAGAAGAGGGGAGGAGAGGGGAAGTAGGAGTGAGAGGGAAGAGGGAGTGAGAGGGAAGTAGGGGAGAGGGGAAGTGGTAAGGAGAGGGAAGTAGGGGAGTGAAGGAAGTAGGGGAGGAAGGGAAGTAGGGAGGAGAGGGGAAGTGGGGAGGAGAGGGGAAGTAGGGAGGAGAGGGGAAGTAGGGAGGAGAGGGGAAGGTAGGGAAGGAGAGGGGAAGTAGGGGAGGAGAGGGAAGTAGGTAAGGGAGAGGGAAGTAGGGAGTGAGGGGGAAGGGAAGGGCAGGGAAATTAGAATGGGGAAGTGGGAAAAAGGAGACGAAAGAGGAAGGGAAGATGAAGACGGAGAGGAGGAGGAACAGGAGATACGGAGAGGGTGAGATGGAACAGTTCTCATTTTCGTCATCTCTCTCTCTCTCGTGTGATTTATCGGTCCACTTGACAGGTTCACTTCAGGGGCGTCACTTTGTGTAGATAGAAAAAAGTAAAATGCAGAACAGGCATAACTTGATGATGTAACTGGCAGACTGGTGAGTGGAGACCGTTGACTGGGAGAGACCGTTGACTGGTGAGTGACCGTTGACTGGGAGAGACCGTTGACTGGAGTGACCGCTGACTGGGAGAGACCGTTGACTGAGAGACCGTTGACTGGTGAGTGACCGTTGACTGGGAGAGACCGTTGACTGGTGAGTGACGTGACTGGGAGAGACCGTTGACTGGGAGAGACCGTTGACTGGTGAGTGAGGGGCCACCAGTGTGTTTATCCCCGCCTTCTCCATTAAGCCTGTGTCTGTTTGTCTCATTGTTCTCACCTAATAACTCCATCCTACTAATGTGATGTTGGACAATACCTTGGACAGTACCTTGGACAATACCTTGGACAATACCTTGGACAATACCTTGGACAGTACCTTGGACAATACCTTGGACAGTACCTTGGACAATACCCCTCTATCCTACTAAAAGTAAAGTGATTATGTTGGTGTCAACCTTAACTCCACCACCACATTAACTATCCTGCAAAAGAATTGACCATGAAAAGACGTTTAAGATAAGCTAAAGATTTGGCTCCCTAACCTAACCTAACCTAACCTAACCTAACTCAACTCTAACCTAACTCAACTCTAACCTAACTCAACTCTAACCTAACTCAACTTTAACCTAACTCAACTCTAACCTAACCTAACCTAACCTAACTCAACTCTAACCTAACTCAACTCTAACCTAACTCAACTCTAACCTAACTCAACTCTAACCTAACTCAACTTTAACCTAACTCAACTCTAACCTAACCTAACCTAACCTACCAGGTAACCTTAGCATAATTAATCCTCAGGTGATCCAGTGATTTCCTAGCCCACATCTCGCTATTTATGTTGATATGCACTAAGGCGTCGTATTAACAAGCTCGTTAACCTGGCCTGACGTGATTGGTCGTTAATGGTGTGTGTGTGTGTGTGTATGTGTGTGTGGGTGTGTGTGTGTGTGTGTGTGTGTGTGTGTGTGTGTGGACGGTTAACGACGATGGAGATAGAGTTAACGAGCAGCGGATGTTGTTAGTTAGGGTAGTTGTGTCAAATTTGCTTGTTGTTCATCTTCATTATCTGTATTCTTGTTTCTTCTCACTTTTCGTTCCTCGTGTTACTTTGTTTACTATTTCGTTCTTGTTCCCTCTCTATTCTGTTCCATTCCTCTTGTTCGCTCTCTACTCTGCTCTATTCCTTATCTTCCCTATCTGCTCTGCTTCTGTACCTCTTGTTCCCTTTCTGCTGTTCCATTCCATTTATTCCCATCTTTACTCTCCTCTATTCCTTATGTTCCCTATCTACTCTGTCCCTGACCTCTTGTTCCATTTCTACTGTTCCATCCCTCCTAATCCACCTCCACCCTGTTCTGTTCCTTTTAATTCTCTTGTGGAAAATTAATTTAATGGTTTGTTTTTGACCTTTTTGACAGCTTCGAGTTGGGTGGAAAATGTAATAAAATGTTTTTATTTGGATATTAATTACTTACGTAAGTGATTAAGTTCATATCGGGACAGGTAATTCAGTGGTTCAATTTACACCTTAAAACACCTGAGCCGCGAATTCTCCAATGTTTAGGAGTTATATTTTGTTCCTATAATTTAATAAGTGATATATCCAACACTAACTTTAACTCTATACGGCGAAGATGGTGAATAAGTTACCCTGAGACTCGACCTGACGTTAAATGCGTTAGTCCGTTAGTTATAAAGTATAAACTCTCTTAGTTGCGTTAATTTATTGTTCAGTTATAGGGGAAAATAAACGTATTCCATAATGTCGTTCATTTTCCCTGTAAATTAAAATACGAAAATTCAAGATACGCATCTCTGAGAACTCGTCTCTGGAATAGTGCCAGGAATGTTGCAGATAGTGCCATTAATTCCTGCGGGTGATTAACCTTTTAGTAATGGTGTCTCGGGGGTGTGCCATTACTGAAGACGCCTCGCTGCTCACATTCCTAAAGACGCGGAAGGTGATAATGGTTTACCTTAATTAATCTTAGGGTAAAGTTTTGGAGAATTTTACGACATTTAAACAGTTGGCGTCAGATTGATGGTTTAATACCCACCCCCCTCCCTGACAATCTGGAATCTGGATTGGGAATACTTTCAGGAATGGACTGGAATACACTGTCTTTTGTCGTTTCTTAAGTGAGTTGACTGAGTAAGTTAATGCGTCTAATTTAGGAGGATAATTGTAAAAGTCCAAATCTCTGGGAATCTTGACTTGTTCCTGGAATGGGAATTATCTCGGGAATGGGCTGGAATACTGGAATCTTAGGATCTTCTTTTAAAAGTTTTCTTGCTTGATGTCTCACTAGGGAACAATATGACTTGGGTTATTTTATGTCTCACCGGGAACAATATGACTTGGGTTATTTTATGTCTCACTAGAAATAATATGACTTGGGTTATTTTATGTCTCACCAGGAACAATATGACTTGGGTTATTTTATGTCTCACCGGGAACAATATGACTTGGGTTATTTTATGTCTCACCGGGAACAATATGACTTGGGTTATTTTATACCTCACCGGGAACAATGCAGACTTGCTATTTTATGTCTCACCAGGAACAATATGACTTGGGTTATTTTATGTCTCACCGGGAACAATATGACTTGGGTTATTTTATGTCTCACCGGGAACAATATGACTTGGGTTATTTTATGTCTCACCGGGAACAATATGACTTGGGTTATTTTATGTCTCACCGGGAACAATATGACTTGGGTTATTTTATGTCTCACCAGGAACAATATGACTTGGGTTATTTTATGTCTCACCGGGAACAATATGACTTGAGTAACTGAGACACTTATTGAAGTTAATGTCTTACTGTAACTAGAATAGGACGTGGATTGGCGTTAAGAATATGCCCTGGAATGGTGACTGGAATAGATCTTGGAATGGTGACTGGAATAGGCCTTAGAATGGTGACTGGCATAGGACTTGGAATTGTGACTAATAGGTCATGGAATGGTGACTGGAATAGGCCTTGGAATGGTGACTGGAATAGATCTTGGAATGATGACTGGAATGGCCCTTGAAATAGTACTCGGAATGGTGACTAATAGTTCATGGAATCGTGACTGGAATAGGTATTGGAATTGTGATTCGAATACTTCTTGGAATGATGACTAGAATAGGCCTCGGAATGGTGACTGGAATAGATCTTGGAATGGTGACTGGAATAGATCTTGGAATGGTGACTGGAATAGGCCTTGGAATGTTGACTTGAATAGGACTTGAAATGGTGCCAGGAATCTTCCATCTCTGGAACATTGTGAGGAAGCTAATGTTACAAGTGGACAAAGCCAGTGTCTGAATTAATCCCAGAAGGCGAAGGTGGAAGACGAGGCGGAGGAGGAGGAAGACCAGGAGGAAGAGAAGGGGGGAGAGCAGGAGGAGGAAAAGGAGATGAAGAAGACAGAGGAGGAGGAGAAGGAAGAACGAGAGGAGGAAAAGGAGGAGGGGAAGGAAAAGGAGGAGCAGGAAAAAGACCAGGGGAGGAACAGAAGTAAGAGAAAGAAGAGGGAAAAATTACCATATGGGGAGGAGGCAGAGGGTAGGAAGGGTGTGGATATGGGATGGGTACGGAGTGTGGATATGGGATGGGTACTGAGTGTGGATAAATTTCCGAACGACTATAAGAACAATAAAGAACTGAGAAAATCCTTTTGTCGGTCGAACAGTTTGAGAGCCTCATCGCCCGGTCAGTCACAGTACCGAGGCAGAATACCAGAGCCACAGTGTTCCTCGTAGATTATCTTGGTACACGCGAGGTGACTACTGGCACTCCAGCATTGCTCAGTTTCGTGAGGCAGCTTTTGTTATACTGAGGTTGAGAGGTGCGGCGGGTCACCCAAGTTCATGTAAATAGGAGAATCGCCTCCTGCTCTGGTCACCACCTTTGTTAGCATCCCTCCAGGACGCACTGAGACCAAACCAGAGGCGGTTATGATCTACTCGACTTAGGCCTCAGAGCCGGACGTCGACTACAAGAAGTTCACATGATGGTCTGGGTCCATAACGACGTATCAACCTTGGAGTGGTGAGCCAAGTTGGGGTGGCCATAAACGAAACTATCCATAGGTGGCCCAGAATTGGTGCTCCAACGACCAGTCATCTACGAGTCTGATGACTACTGGTACGGTTTTCTGTTGTATGAGATCGTCATAACCAACGGTAGTCACCTTCCCCAGGTGGAGAGGTGATGGAGTTTGTCCTGACTACTGGCGGGGCCAACAGTCCTACTCTTGGGCACGTGCTGAACCGGCCTAGATGACTCAATGGCCAACGACGTGGCCAGGCATTCATCTCTGGGGCATTGAATGGTCTGAGATTTTTCGCGAGCGAAAGATTCCCCTATGATAGAATCACAGCTGAAATACACAGACTCATCAACCAACAGCTACACAGAGAGTAGAGAGATTCGAGCAAAAACTCTTACAAGCACTTCTACCAGACAAAAACCTTATGAGTTTCCCACAAAGCTCCTAAATCTTAGAGTCCATCACCAATCCTCACGGCCAGGCAATAGACAAATACCCTCGTCCAGAACCTGCTACTAACACCGGCGGTATACAAGCCATGGCCTTACCGACGAATATGGGATGGTGTGAGTGTCTACAATGGTCACAGTTTCCCTGATACTTACCCCGAGAGAGAGAGAGAGAGAGAGAGAGAGAGAGAGAGAGAGAGAGAGAGAGAGAGAGAGAGAGCTGCTTAACTAGGCATTGATAGAAAGAAACTTAAAAAGGAAGTTTTGATTAAGATCGGGGTGGCTGTGTGGCCATTGTTTGATTAGAAAAGCGTAGAACAGACTAGAGATGGTACTAAGGTTTGTAATGTGGGTAGGTGGCAACGGGGTGAGTATCCGTGGACAGGGGTGGGTAGGCAATATGGATAGGAAGTGTGGGTAGGGGCCGAGGTGAGTCCCAGTAGGCAGGGGTGATCAGAACAGAGATAGGGCAGGGTAGGTCATCGACTGGTCAGGGGAGGGCCGTGGGAAGCTGCCAAGCCCATCAGTAAGGGTCTGTGTCCGTCCAGTAGATGATGGCTGGAGGGAGGTAACAGAAGAAGGGAGAAATTGAGATAAGGAAGAACAATACAAAAGAAAACAAGAGAGAAAGGGAGGGCGAAGGCGAGACGAAGAAGGAGAAGAATTGAGAGAGAAGCAGAAAGAACTTGATTATATACATAGAGAGAGAGACAATCTACATGTCTCTACCACAGCCTTGTAATTACCCTGACGAAGTGTGTTCTTCGTCAGGCTCAGTAAGGTGGCGTGTGTGGTAACGAGGAGCATAAATAATGTCTAGGTTTATTCTGTAATTAGAGGATGAGAAGTGTTACAATATTTACCTTGGTGTGTGTGTGTGTGTGTGTGTGTGTCTGTGTGTGTGTGTGTGTGTGTGTGTTGGGGGAGCAGTGTCAGATTTCTTAATGTTGTAGACACACACACACACACACACACACACACACACACAGACACACACACACACAGTAAGTAATAAATGTTTATAATCGACTCGAAATCACCTTGAACAACCCAGATGCTAAATATTTGATGAGTTCCTCCTCCTCCTCCTCCTTCCTCTCTTCCTCCCTCCCTCCCCCCTCCCTCCCTCCTCCCTCTTCCCTCCTCCTTCCCTCCCTCCCTCCTTCGTTCCCTCCTCCCTCTACTCCTCTTCATTCCTCGTTCCCATTTCTATTTTCTCTGCTCCTCCCTCCCCCCCTCCCCCACGACTCTATTACTAGTAGGGTGATGGGATAGAGAGGAGAGGACGGATGGGTGAAGAGAGTGAGGAGAAAGAGAGGAAGGATGGGTGAGGGGAGAGAGGGGGGGAGGGGAGGTGAGGGGAGGGGAATGACTTAAGGCATCTCAGAGAGTCTCCCATTAAACTCTTCAACACAATAGTCTTTCTAGACGATGATACGTGGAATGATCCTTACCCAGTTGTTGGCAGACCGGGCGGTGGGTGCCTGGCTGAGGTAGATAGATGGTCAGATAGATAAATATTATATAGAGAGACATATGGAAGGTAGGAGAGAGAGAGAGAGAGAGAGAGAGAGAGAGAGAGAGAGAGAGACCAATAATTACTCGATCAACCAGTGAAATTTTTGCTAAGTACAGTACGTGGCTGGTCATTGATTTTAAGGGGCAGGGGAGAGACTGTGTTTATCATGTACAGTGTGGAGGATATATGTGTGGAGGATATATGTACAGTGTGGAGGATATATGTACAGTGTGGAGGATATATGTGTGGAGGATATATGTGTGGAGGATATATGTACAGTGTGGAGGATATATGTACAGTGTGGAGGATATATGTGTGGAGGATATATGTGTGGAGGATATGTGGAGATATATGTGGGAGGATATAGTGAGGGAGGATATATGTACAGGTGGGAGGATATAAGAGGAGGATATATGTACAGTGTGGAGGATATATGTACAGGGAGGATATATGTGGAGGGAGGTGTGGGAGGATATATGTGGAGATATATGTACAGTGTGGAGGATATATGTACAGTGTGAGGATATATGTGGAGTGATATATGTGTGGAGGATATATGTGTGAAGGATATATGTGTGGAGGATATATGTGTGAAGGATATATGTGTGGAGGATATATGTGTGAAGGATATATGTGTGGAGGATATATGTGTGAAGGATATATGTGTGGAGGATATATGTACAGTGTGTATTACTCTTAACGTTGTACAGTTGGTTGAAGTGCTCGTAGATAGATGTAGTGAGGTGCTTGGTGAGAGATCCAGCGCCTCCAACACCATCTTTTCCCTTCTCCTGTAACCCCCTCTTCCCCTCCTTCACCTTCCCATCACCACCGACCTCCCTTCCCCTTCCCTCTAACCCCATTTCCACCCAATTCTTTACCTCCTTTCCCCTTCCCCCTTCCTCTAACCCCTCCCCCCTCTTCCCTCCTCTACCTCCTTCCCATCACCACCAACCTCCCTTCCCTTCCTCTAACCCCATTTCCACCAATTCTTACCTCCTTTCCCTTCCTCTAACCCCTCCCCCCCTCTTCCTCCTCCTACCTCTCCCATCACCACCGACCCTTCCCCCTCTAACTCCATTTCCACCACCCTTACCTCCTTTCCCTTCCCCTTCCTCTAACCTCCCTCTTCCTCCTCCCAGCCTCTTCCCATCACCAATGACCTCCCTTCCCCTTCCCCTCTAACCCTCCCCCTCCTTTCTACCTTCTTCCCATCACCACCGACCTCGCTTCCCCTTCCTCTAACCCTCCCCTTCCTCCTCTACCTCTTCCCATCACCATCGACCTCCCTTCCCCTTCCTCTAACCCCTCCCCTCTTCCTCCTCCCACTCTCCCATCACCACTGACCCTGCTCTCCTCTAACCCTCCTCTTCCTCCTTCTTCCATCACTATCGACTCCCTTCCCTTCTCCTATAACCCCCTCTTCCCCTCCTTCTACCTCTTCCCATCACCACCGACCTCCCTTCCCCTTCCCTCTAACCCCATTTCCACCACCCTTACCTCCTTTCCCTCTCTCCCCCTCTAACCCCTCCCCCCTCTTCCCCTGTTCTCTTCCCCAAAAAATAAAATGAGGTCGTCGCTCACTGTGTTATGACGACCCCAGGAAGGTGTATCATTATTGTTAGTTACATCACAGTGTGTGGTGTTGTCTTCCCTGCCTAGCCGTCCAGCAGTGACTGTTCTGTCCAGTTGTTGTCATGTATCGCCAACCCAACACTACTATGACCAGCTCTAGGTCACCCTTGTTAACCTCTGCGTAATTTATAAAGTTAAGGAGACAGTAAACGCCACCGTGGCTTGTTAAGAGGATAACAAGAGTGTTCTTGTTGCAGAGGACAAGAACCTCAGGTCGCTCGCCTCTGTAATAACGCCATCAACATGTCACATGTAAACAACTTTTTAAGACCTTTCGTGGAGAATAATGCCAACGTTTTTATCGTCATTTTTGTTAAGGTTTCAAGAAGGAAATGATGTAATGTGTCGTAGATGAAGTTGACGGCGAGTCTGGTCCAGTCATAACTTGTTCCACTTATCAGTCAGTGCTACACTTGGTGGTGTCGGTCGCACTCCACATGATTGATGGCAACAAGTGGTAATAAGATACGCAGGGTAGCTTATGTTGTCTACCAGTTGTGGTACATTTAAAACTCACAAGTGCCAGTCAGTGTTTCATTTAGACGTGTGTACCCATAGGTAGGTCTCCTGGACGTGTGCGGTACTGTACTCATGAAGTGGCAGGTCGTCGCTCTAGTCCGGTGCTGTTGTCAATGATAAAGTTTTTATTTGATGTATGAGAAGTTGGCGTGTATTGAGGCACGCATGACAACTCCCTCCCTGGTCGCCATGGAACATATCAACAAACTTAGTGTTTTATGTTGCTTTAAACTCTTTGTGCTGTAATACATCATGTTAATCCATACAGAATAGCCTTAAAGGTATTAATTGCACATTTCTTAACAAATCCACATTATTATCTACCTGAAAAGTTTCCAGTGTGTAACATTTTATCCATGAAAACCAAAATAATAAGTCATTATTGCCTCCCAACCCAGTTTACTCCAGTTACCCCGGTCAAACCTGCAGTGTCATACCCATTTTCTTTGTTACTCCGAGCTGTGACGTCACGGTAAACATCATCGCGTGGCAACATTTACTTCCTCTCGACATTTATTAATTGCCGATTGCAATTCGAGTGTGCTCAAGGTGAAAGTGTGTATCCGATATTGTGTTTTTGTTCTCTCAATGACTACAGTTTTCATGGAAAGAGATATAAACGAAATTACTACAATTAAAACAAGTTTATTGGTTTGTAATGTTTCAGGAACGAGATCAGGGGGTCGTTGCGTAGTTTAGGAGTGTCGTTTGAATTGATCTTTTCCTTAATTAACCTGATATAAAAATGTCGTTTAAAACTCCCCCTTTAAACTTAAAATTGTTTTTACGTGTTTAATACTGGTTAGTTAGTTAATTGTTGTGGGTGTTCCGAGTGTGTTGTGATTGGTCGATGATATATCGCGTGTGTGTTGTGATAGGACGATGGTATCTAGAATGAGTGTTGTGATTGGACGATGATATTCAACTCGTCTTGTGATTGGTGGATATTACCCGGTGTAAGAGTTGTGGTTGGATGGTGATATTGAGTGAAGCTTCATGATTGGGTGATAGCACAGGTCACGGGGATGATTGGGTGGTCGTGACTGGATGACACTATTTTGTATTCATTATCAATTGGGTGGATACTGTACATCTGGCACACGGAGATGGTGATTGGCTAGAATATCTGGCAAGGAGATGGTGATTGGCTAGAATATCTGGCAAGGAGATGGTGATTGGCTAGAATATCTGGCAAGAGGATGGTGATTGGACGGGGGGAGGGGGGCGCGTTAGCCTAGTGGAGTGTAATATCTGGTATTTACACATGAGCGCTCACGACTTTTCTACCTGACTCATTGATGTATGGTCGACACACACTGCCAGCTGTGGTATGGTCGACACACACTGCCAGCTGTGGTATGGTCGACACACACACTGCCAGCTGTGGTATGGTCGACACACACTGCCAGCTGTGGTATGGTCGACACACACTGCCAGCTGTGGTATGGTCGACACACACTGCCAGCTGTGGTATGGTCGACACACACTTGTATGGTCGACACACACTCGCCAGCTGTGGTGCGGGCCTGACACACACTGCCAGCTGTGGTATGGTCGACACACACTGCCAGCTGTGGTATGGTCGACACACACTGCCAGCTGTGGTATGGTCGACACACACTGCCAGCTGTGGTATGGTCGACACACACTGCCAGCTGTGGTATGGTCGACACACACTGCCAGCTGTGGTATGGTCGACACACACTGCCAGCTGTGGTATGGTCGACACACACTGCCAGCTGTGGTATGGTCGACACACACTGCCAGCTGTGGCTCGACACACACTGCCAGCTGTGGTATGGCTTCACACTGCCAGCTTGGTATGGTCGACACACACCGCCAGCTGTGGTATGGTCGACACACACTGCCAGCCGGGTATGGTCGACACACGTCAGCCGTGGTATGGTCGACACCGCCAGCTGTGGTTGGTCGATACACACTGCCAGCTGTGGTATGGTCGATACACACTGCCAGCTGTGGTATGGTCGACACACACTGCCAGCTGTGGTATGCACGACACACACCGCCAGCTGTGGTGCATGGCTTCCACACTGCCAGCCGTGGTATGGTCGACACACACTGCCAGCTGTGGCATGGTCGACACACACTGCCAGCTGTGGTATGGTCGACAACACTGCCAGCTGTGGTATGGCCGACACACACACCGCCGTCAGCTGTGTATGGCCGACACACACACTGCCAGCTGTGGTGCATGGTCGACACACACCGCCAGCCGTGGTATGGTCGATACACACTGCCAGCTGTGGTATGGTCACACACTGCCAGCCGTGGTATGGTCGACAATAATAATTGCCAGTTGTATGGTCGACACACACACACTCACAGGTATCGACGAGAGAGAGAGAGAGAGAGAGAGAGAGAGAGAGAGAGAGAGAGAGGTTGCTTAAAGGGAATGTTTGCGGGCTGGACAGTTGTGTGAAATTATAGGTAAAACAAAATACCAAACCAACGGGATCCTAGAAGTTGATCCCTTGGGTAAAAAAATAAAATAATCAACATCTTGAGTAATGGCGTCGGTGTAGCCCTGGCGTATGGGAGGATGGAGGGAAGTATATTAAATACCAAAGGAGATTAATAATACATTTTATTATAGTTTTGACGTTTATAATAGTCTCACTCGAACGAATATAACTACTACATGTACTAGTAATATTATTAATATAGTAATAATAATAGAGAGACAGGTGGGGAGGAAACAGCGTGGTAGGTGACAGTGTTTAGGGTGTCAGTGTTTGAGAGGATATGACATATAACAGACGTGACACTGGTGGTAATAACAAGATCCCCAGCACGTATGACACACACACACACACACACACACAGACACAGACACACACACACACACACACACACACACACACCATCAGTACAGGTGTATGTTTACTTGTATACGATTATTATATATTGCACCATTATCATATATGACGTTGGTTCATATATATGTGTTGTGTTAACCTAAGATACAGTTCATATACTACATCGTAACATAAGCGACACCTTAACCTATAGTATACGAAAAGCCTTTTAAAACCCAGGCTAGGAAGGTCTTGTTGGTTGTACTACGTATATAATTTTATTTTATGTAATATTGAATTTTGTGTAAAGTTTCAGTAGCAAATATCTGAAATATCTGTTGGTTACATTACTGAATAGTCGTGTGGTGCTGTACTGTGTGTAGTGTGGTGTGCCACAAAAACATAAGGGTGTGGTTAGAGGTTCAGGGATAACACGATATTGTGTGTGTGTGTGTGTGTGTGTGTGTGTGTGTGTGTGTGTGTGTGTGTGTGTGTGTGTGTGTGTATATGACTAACACCTGTAAGAACATTCTAGACGTAAGTGGGCTATATACTGAGGCCGTTATTCGTTATATACCGAGGTCATTTTTCGTTATATACCGAGGTCATTATACGTTATATACCGAGGCCATTATTCGTTATATACCGAGGTCATTATTCGTTATATACCGAGGCCATTATTCGTTATATACCGAGGTCATTATACGTTATATACCGAGGCCATTATTCGTTATATACCGAGGTCATTATTCGTTATATACCGAGGCCGTTATTCGTTATATACCGAGGTCATTATTCGTTATATACCGAGGCCGTTATTCGTTATATACCGAGGTCATTATTCGTTATATACCGAGGCCATTATTCGTTATATACCGAGGTCATTATACGTTATATACCGAGGCCGTTATTCGTTATATACCGAGGCCATTATTCGTTATATACTGCGGTCATTATACTATGCACCAATACCTGTGATACACGTAATTACCTGTAAAAGAGTCAAAACTTATAATACACATCATTACCTGTAAACACGTCATTACCTGTACTCTGGTTGTACTGACAGGTCGTATCCCGCTTTATCTACTGTTTCATGATAATGTATCTGATTACATACAATAACGTGGCTGTATTTACCCCCATTACTGTATATATCTTATTTCTGTATCGTAACTTAATTTCTATGGATACAGTTGCTGTATTTCGTCATATGATTACATTATCTCAGGACTATATTCGTAAATACAGAGGCTGTATTTTGTCAATTATATAATACAGTAATTGTATTTTTCCTAAACTGTATAATCATATTTTTCTTATCTTTCCTACAGTACTTATACAATTCACATGACCCTGAAAATTGTCATATATTCCAGTGATGAAAATTTCACTTGTAAAGAACTGAGATTATCTTAGTGTTTAGTGACTCCGGTAAACAGAACACTCGCCTCCTTCTCAATGTGTGTGTTATGGTGATAATGGTGTAACTAGTACTAACTACAGCTGACACAATAAACATGGATGCGAAATAATAAGAGGGTTAAGGAACAGCGGTGTAAAATCCGATATTCTAGAGGGGTTAATTAGGGATTTTCCTAGTTGATAATCAATTTCCTGGTTGGTAATCTATTTCCTGGTTGATAATCTATTTCCTGGTTGATAATCTATTTCCTGGTTGTTATTCTATTTCCTAGTTGGTAATATACCCCCTGGTTGGCGATCTACCCGATGGTTGGAGATCTACCCCCTGGTTGGCGATCTACCCGATGGTTGGAGATCTACCCCCTTGATGGCGATCTACCCGATGGTTGGAGATCTACCCCCTGGTTGGCGATCTACCTCCTGGTTGGCGATCTACCTCCTGGTTGGCGATCTACCTCCTGGTTGACGATCTACCTCCTGGTTGACGATCTACCTCCTGGTTGGTGATCTACTTCTTGGTTGATAATCTTCCTGGTTGGCGATCTACCTCCTGGTTGGCGATCTACCTCCTGGTTGACGATCTACCTCCTGGTTGACGATCTACCTCCTGGTTGGTGATCTACTTCTTGGTTGATAATCTTCCTGGTTGGCGATCTACCTCCTGGTTGACAATCTACCTCCTGATTTGGCGATCTACCTCCTGGTTAGTAATCTACCTCCTGGTTGGCGATCTACCTCTGGTTGGCGATCTACCTCCTGGTTGGCGATCTACCTCCTGGTTGGCGATCTACCTCCCTGGTTATTAATCTACCTCCTGGTTGGCGATCTACCTCCTGGTTGGCGATCTACCCCTGGTTGGCGATCTACCTCCTGGTTGGCGATCTACCTCCTGGTTAGCGATCTACCTTCCTGGTTGGCGATCTACCTCCTGGTTGGTAATCTACCTCCTGGTTGGCGATCTACCTCCTGGTTGTGTAATCTACCTCCTGTTTGGCGATCTACCTCTCCTGATTTATTAATCTACCTCCTGGTTGGCGATCTTACCTCCTGGTTATTAATCTACCTCCTGGTTGGTAATCTACCTCCTGGTTATTGTCCACCTCCTGGTTGGCGATCTACCTCCTGGTTGGTAATCACCTCCTGGTTGGCGATCTACCTCCTGGTTGGCGATCTACCTCCTGGTTATTAATCTACACACTCCTGGTTGGTAATCTACCTCCTGGTTGGTAATCTACCTCCTGGTTGGTAATCTACCTCCTGGTTGGTAATCTACCTCCTGGTTGGTGATCTACCTCCTGGTTGGCGATCTACCTCCTAGTTGGTAATCTACCTCCTGGTTGGTAATCTTTCTGGTTGATAATATTCTATCAGGTAAATGATGATAACGTACCAATAACCTACCCAGGTAAAATAATCCTTAATGTCCCCTCTTCCTCTTCCCCCTCTTTCTCTCCCTTCCTCTTCCTCCTCCTCCTCTCCCTACCTCCTCCTCCTACCTCCTCCCTTCCTACAGTAATATAAACACTTGAGCTCATAAGAAAGTTGAGACGACAGCCACAAGACTATGGTATACGAGGCTGGGAGGTATGATGGGTCATGGGTGTAGCGGGGGCGTGGCTCTGACCTGTGACCTGCTGACTCTTTGTGTTATTAAGTGGCCGCTGCCTCAACACTGCCCCAGCCGCCATGTTGGGCTCCCTCCGCCGGAAGAAAAGATCCAAAAAGGTAAACACAAAAGGATGAATTAGGAATAATAATTGGTGATAATGATGGTGATAATGATCATATTAATGGTAAATAGCGGCACTGAGGCTCTGGGCCGTAAAAAGCTGACTTTATGTTGTCTTAATGATTAATGGAGTTTAGTGATCGCATACTCGGGGTGTATCATTAACTTTGATTATATGTACATCATGCTGAAGTATGTCTGTGTGTGTGTGTGTGTGTGTCTCACTATTGTAGATAAGGTGTAGTAATGTTAAGGTGCCGCCCACACGTCCACCCACCCGTGCTCCTATCAGGTAGCGGGGCGCGGGCGGGCGGGCGCGGGCGTCGGTGGTTGGGGATTTAGCATTATTCTTCTCTATAGGAGGCGGTGAACGAGGCGTCCCCCGCCCGCTCCTTTACCGACCCCGCGCGCCAGATCTTTCACGAGCTCCGCACGGGCACCCCAGGGGGCGGCCTGAGGGGGGCGTCCTGCTCCCTCCAGGGGTCTCCACGCTCCCCCCGCCGACGCTCCCCTGGGGGCACGGCTCCCCCCTCCCTGCAGCCCAGCCCCGTCACCAGCCGCCGTGAAGTTGGTCTCCAAGACCCCGGGGAGGCTGCCTCCCTCAGCGCCAGGAGCGGTAGCCCTGGCCAGCGGCGACGCCGGCCCTCTGAGGAGTGCCCAGGGGCGTCGCCAGGGGGTTCTCCGGCCCTACAGAGGAGGTCAGGGGCGGGGACGGGGACGGGAAGAGCAGGTGGTGCTCCCCAAGACAGTGACGGGGTCGGCCAGCCAGACACGCGCCAGCTGCCGGTAAGCCGCCATGGGTGACGGTGGTGCAGTTGGCGCCACGCACGCCCACACATCTGCACGCACGCCCACGCCCATCCACGCTTAATTAAACGTTGCTGGTACACACAATCAACTGTGTTCTCCCACCGAATGAATAATTGGATGTAAAAATCCAAATGTGAATATGACGTGGGCGGGCGTGCGGGTGGGCGGCGTGGCACAGTGGGTGAGGGAGTGTTATACCTGGGTGTCCGCTTGTTGTTGCTTGCTTGTGTACACAACAGTCTGTGGTAGTGTCCTGCTTACTGTGTGTTGCTGCATGTAGAGAAAATGACTTAAAGCGAGGGTGAACTGAGGTAGTCTGTGCATGAGCATGTTACACTAACACTAATTCCTGTGATTGTGTCATACCTTTGTTTTGTGTGTTTGTGTTTTGTTGTCTTCAGGATGCGACGGCTCAACACACACACACACACACACACACACCAGTACAAGGTAAGTGTGTTTTATTCTCTGTATTGTTGTTTCATCAATAACCTTATCCATCTACTTGTCTCAGGTAACATAAAGGAATATTAATGACAGGTAAATTATTTTGCATGTGCTGTACAACGTTTTATGATCTAGTTATTTAACATTATTTTTAAGTCATGTTGGTGTACTGTTATTTTGTATTTTCTGTACTAGTGCTTGTATTTTTATACCTGTAATTACATTTTTATCTCTTTCTGTTTTTGTACGTGTATTTGCATCTGTAGCTGTACCCGTAAATCTTTCTGTAGGTACATTAATAATAAGGTAATAACACTGACAGCCTGGAGATGAGGGGCCGTGAGTGACAGCCTCTGAGTGACGGCAGTGACAGCAACAGTTGAGTGAGTATACATGACACCTTAAAGAACATGGTGAGGAAAGTACATGAGACTGATGAAGAAAGATGATAGGATGGGAAGTGAGAGACAGAAATAAGAGATGACAGACGAAGAAAGAGACACAAGAGAAGTAAGAGACAGGAGAAAGAGAAGACAGACGAAGAAAAAGACAGGAGGGGAAGTGAAAGACAGGAAAGATAAAGAAGACAGATAAATAAAAAGAAGACTGGAAGAGGGACAAGAGAAAAAGATAAAACACTAAACAAAAGAAGAGAAGAGGGGGAGAACAAGGAAGACGTAATAACTCCTAAGAGGTGTGAAGAGGAGTAGGAGGAAAAGGAAGGAGTAATGCCATAGTAGACTCAAGAGGAGGAAGAAGTGTAAAACAAGGAAGAGGAGAACAAGGTAGACATAATAACTCTTTAGATGCGGGAGGAAGAAGAAGGGTATGTAATAACTCCTTTGAAGACCAAGAGGATTAAGAAGAGGGTGTAATAACTCCTTAGAAACGGGGGAGAAGAGGAAGAGGAGAGTGTAAACCTCCTTAGAAGCGGGAGGAAGGAGGAGAAGTGTGATCAAGAAGAGGAAAGCAGAAATGACTGTCTTGTGAGGCTGGTGTGTGTGTGTGTGTGTGTGTGTGTGTGTGTGTGTGTGTGTGTGTGTGTGTGTGTGTGTGTGTGTGTGTGTGTGTCTGTGTGTGTGTGTGTAAAATGATTATGATAAAATAGGTGAACATGAGCAGGAGTTGACAATATTGTTAACTTAACTTTTTTAACATACCACATTAAGTAAAACCCAGAGAGTCGTATATATGACCTCTCGTTGTGCTGATGGCGTGTTGGGTAGGACCCGAGCAGTGAGAGACAGGAGAGAGAGAGAGAGAGAGAGACAGAGAGGGATGAGAAGCAGAGAGTGATAGAGAGACAGAGTGAGAGAGAGACAGAGAGTGAGAGAGAGACAGAGAGTGATAGAGAGACAGAGAGGATAGAGAGACAGAGAGGATGAGAGAGACAGAGAGTGATAGAGAGACAGAGGTGATAGAGAGACAGAGAGTGATAGAGAGACAGAGAGTGATAGGAGAGACAAGGAGTGATAGAGAGACAGAGAGTGAAAGAGAGACAGAGAGTGATAGAGAGACAGAGTGATAGAGAGACAGAGAGTGGATAGAGAGACAGAGAGGAGAGAGACAGGAGGATAAGAGAGAGAGGATAGAGAGACAGAGAGTGATAGGAGAGACAGAGAGTGATAGAGAGACAGAGGATAGAGAGAGACAGAGGATAGAGAGACAAGAGGATAGAGAGACAGAGAGGAGTAGAGAGACAGAGAGTGATAGAGAGACAGAGGATAGAGGACAGAGAGGAGAGAGACAGAGGAGAGAGAGACAGAGAGTGATAGGAGAGACAGAGAGGAGAGAGACAGAGAGGATAGAGAGACAGAGAGGATAGAGAGACAGAGAGGATAGAGACAGAGGATAGAGAGACAGAGAGGAGAGAGAGAGAGAGAAAAAAAAAACAGAGAGGATAGAGAGACAGGAGGAGAGAGACAAAAGAGACAGAGAGTGATAGAGAGACAGAGAGGATAGAGAGACAGAGAGTAGAGAACAGAGAGTGATAGAGAGACAGAGAGGATAGAGAGACAGAGAGTGATAGAGAGACAGAGAGGAAGAGAAAGAGGGATAGAGAGACAGAGGGATAGAGAGAAAGAGAGGATAGAGAGAAAGAGAGGAGAGACAAGAGGATAGAGAGACAGAGAGTAGAGAGAGACAGAGAGTAGAGAGACAGAGAGGATAAGAGAAGGAGACAGGGAGGAAGAGAGAGAAGGAGAGACAGAGAGGCTAGAGAAACAGAGGAGAGAGAGACAGAGATGATGAGAGACAGAGAGGAGAGAGACACAAGAGGACAGAGAGACAGAGGAGAGAGAGACAGAGAGTGATAAGAGAACAGAGAGTGATAGAGAAACAGAGAGATAGAGAACAGAAAGAGAAGAGACAGAGAAGAGAGACAGAGAAAGAAAGAGACAGAGAGGATAGAGAGACAGAGAGGATAGAGAGAGAGAGTGATAGAGAGACAGAGAGGTGAGAGAGAGAAAGAGAAAGAGATAGAGAGAAGAAGAGAGAAGAGAGACAGAGAGTGATAGAGAGACAGAGAGAGATAGAGAACAGAGAGATAGAGAGACAGAGAGGATAGAGAGACAGAGAAGATAGAGAGACAGAGAGGATAGAGAGACAGAGAGTGATAGAGAGACAGAGAGTGATAGGAGAGACAGAGTGATAGAGAGACAGAGAGTGATAGAGAGACAGGATGATAGAGAGACAGGAGGATAGAGAGACAGAGGATAGAGAGACAGAAAAAAACAAAAAAAAAAAAGAGAGACAGAGAGAAGAGAGACAGAGAGGAAGAGAGAAAGGGATAGAAACAGAGGAAGAGAGACAGAGAGAGAGGATAGAGAGACAGAGAGGAGAGACAGAAAGAGAGACAGAGGAGGAGAGAGACAGAGAGTGAAGAGAGACAGAGAAAAAGGATAGAGAGACAGAGAGGATAAAAGGAAGAGAGACAGAGAGGAAGAGAGACAGAGAGAGTAGACAGAGAGTGATAGAGAGACAGAGAGTGATAGAGAGAGAGACAGGAGGATAGAGAGACAGAGAGTGATAGAGAGACAGAGTGATAGAGAGACAGAGGATAGGAGAGACAGAAGATAGAGAGAAAGAGAGGATAGAGAGACAGAGATGATAGGAGAGACAGAGAGTGATAGAGAGACAGAGAGAGAGAGACAGAGAGACAGAGAGGACAGAGAGACAGAGAGTGATAGAGAGACAGAGAGGAGAGAGACAGAGAGAGGATAGAGAGACAGAGAGGAGAGAGAGACAGAGAGGGAAGAGAGACAGAGGGATAGAGAGACAGAGAGTGATAGAGAAAAAGAGAGACAGAGAAAAAAGATAGAGAGACAGAGAGTGAGAGAGAGACAGAGAGGAGAGAGACAGAGAGGATAGAGAGACAGAGAGGATAGAGAGACAGGAGGAAGGAGAGACAGGAGGATAGAGAGACAGAGAGGATAGGAGACAGAGAGGAGAGAACAGAGAGGAAGGAGAGACAGAGAGGAGAGAGACAGAGAGGATAGAGAGAAGAGAGTGATAGAGAGACAGAGAGGATAGAGAGACAGAGAGTGAGAGAGACAGAGAGGAAGAGAGACAGAGGATAGAGACAGAGAAAGAGATAGAGAGACAGAGAGAGAGAGGAAAGAAGAGAGAGACAGAGAGGGATAGAGAGACAGAGAGTGATAGAGAGAGACAGAGAGATAGAGAGACAGAGAGTGGAGAGAGAGA